CTACAAAAGGTAAGTGATTTTAGTTGTTAGTTACATTGATTGATTTAAAAAATAAATATTAAAAATTTTTTTTTTCACATGACTTACTCCCGAACGATCCATTTGTTGAAGAAATCTAGGATCGTCAAGTCATGCAAGATTATAATAATGTTAAAGAGTCAAGGCCGAAAAAAAAGCTGCATGTGTACTAAATTAATGAATAAAAAAAACATCAAATTTTTAACGGTCCTATTATTTTATAAAATAGTCACGTGACGTGCAATTAGAGATCGAATTGTCATATCAAAGGATAGAAAAATTTCTTGCACGTGCAGAACTTGGAGGGTGCATTTAGCTTCTAAGTCCCAAGCTTAGGACCAGAACATTATGTACATTTAAAGAGGGTGTGCATTTATAGAGGATGCATTTAGAGAGGTCTGATTGTATATGTTTTTTGTAATATAAACAATGAAAATTATCATTATTTGTGAACTTGTCTTCATATATTAGATAAAATTACTGATATTTGTAAACCTATATGTGAATTCATTGATAATATAATTGTTGATAACTAGAAAAAAATGAAATAGACACAAGTTTTATTTGGCAATCAAATAGCAATTCTTAGATTCCTTTATTAACCTTACTTTTTGCATCCATTTTGCTAAAGAAATAATCCCTACTGATATCCTTCTACTTCTAATGAAGCTTTTCTTTTCAACAAATTCAAAAAATATTCTAATAGAAGCTTTTAATTTCGTATATCAACTTTCCATAACAAAATCTGGATTTCAAGATGCAACAGGATAATCAAATGAAAAGATCAAGAGGGATATCAATTAGATTAAAGAAGAAAAAAGTAAAAATAAAACATCCACTAGTTCCAAAGATTTTTCATAAAGCCTCAGATACATGGAAAACTTGGTGTAATTTGACTATACAATTTGGTTTTTCTTGGTCAAACTTAAAATGGTACTGATATTATCATTTGGATTTCTTGCTAATGTCTAAATCATTAGATATGAATCTTTTGGTTTTTTCAGAGGGACATTCCGGTGATTGGTCGATTCAAACGGGTTTGTAACAGAATCACGGAGGATAGTCAGTTTAGTTTTTACTGTTTTTACTTCTAATTTTAAAATTTGATTTTGATTTTATTTGTAATTTTATAACATAAATTTAACAAATTTATGACAGTACCACATCGTTAAAAAAAAAAATTAAGTTTCCATCCATTTGTAGGATCCCATTATCAAATATTGCTTTGGAAGTCGACCTGGTGATGGCGATAATATTGTCATTTTTTGCTTACCAGTATCAACACTAGATCTACATAACAATAATAAATTGATTAATGAAAAAAATATATATAGAAATAAAAAAAAAAAAAAGATGTATTTTTAATTACACATAAATAAATCCGATGATTGATGATTCAAGTAAAGAATGTTCTTCTGAATTATTAGCAGAGCTAATTGCCAAAATAGAATGTAATAACGTATCATCATCTGGTTCGACCTTCACCAATTGAGTTTCACTGACTTTTCTGTCAATTCCAATCGGAAGTGCAGATGAAGGCGCTAAGGATCCTGTTTGAAACATATTAAAAGTATTAAAATACAAAATGAAAGTTAAGAGATCCTTTTTTTTTTTTTAAAAAAAAAAAAATAACTTGCCAACTCCAACGCGATATATGGAAACTTCGTTTAAATTAATTAAAGTTGAACAGGGAGATAATTCAAATTTTGGCAATCCATAAAAATATTCTCTAATTTTTCGCATCTGCATTTGCCTTCGAAACGCGTTATCTCTATCAACTACCTGCATTTTCAAAAAAAAAAAAAAAAAAAAGATTAATTTCCAGCTATATATATTAAAAAAAAAAATATTAGAATGATTTCACAGGTTGAGGGCTATTAGCCCGAGAAATGCCTAATAAAGCACATTAAATCCTTATTCAAAATCTATTTTTTTTTCTTATTACTAACCCCTCCTGATTTTGATAATTTAACTACATTAACACCAGGGCGCTCCTTATATAATCGAGCCATATCACTATATAATCGTTCATGACCAAGTACAATTATGATGTTTACTTCACTCAACAAATGAAAATGTTAGAAATAACTCTCAGAATAGTGACATAATACAAATCATAGTTGTCAAAAATTACCGTCAAATACTTCCACACAATGTTGTATGATCTCATACCCGGTGCCGTCAATGAGTCCACTAGTGTCAATCACGACTCCTGAAACTTTAGCTACAGAAACAGAGTTTTTAGAATTAAATTAAACATCAATGTTCCAAATGAAAAATATCATTTACCAATTTCATCTTCAACCAAGCGTCGCGAAACGTTATAGGCTAATTTTTTTGTTAATACTTTATATAATTTTACATTATCACTAGGATCCGAATATCCATAATAAAAAACCATCGGCATATATGAAGAGCTAAACGATGGTGCGGTTGTTGCCGATGAACCAAAACCTTCTTCTACGTCAATGATATGATTGATTGGTGTCGCAGACAAAGTCCCTGGCATTGTAATTGAACCCTAGATAAAAAGGTTATATTAATAACCCATTTGATAATGATAATCCATGGAGATTCACTTATAATTGACTTACCTCGTTGCTATCAAGATTAACAAATATCGGCTGTCTACCGTGACGTAGCGCATAGCTAAGCAATAATTTGCATAATGAAGTTTTTCCTACATCTTCAGGACCTACAATCATAACCTTGAATGTCATTAAATTAACAAAAGTTCGATATATAACAGAGGACAAAGGTCAAATATTATCATTGCTCACCCGTGGTCCCTTATCACTCTTAGACTTGGCCTCTTCTCTACATTGTTCGAGTGCAATATGCATATTAAGATAACTTGTCATTGGAGTTTCATTAGCAACATATTCTACACTACATGCTCCTTCAATGTATTAAATAATTAAGTCAAGGGTAATAATTCATTCATTCATATTAACGGAGACAAGTTAAATAATATAGGATATCTCTATTGTACAACCATGCCAAGTAAATATTGCAACTTTACGACCTGAAAATTCATATTCATGCCCTATTCCAATTTCTGTACCAAATATTTCCGCCGTACCAGAGATCAACTATATTTAATAAATATTATTTTTTTTCATTATGTTACAAAATATATATACAAATTAATATCAAATATTATAAAATTATTAAACTAGCCTAATAATCCTTTTTTATTATGTACGAAATATTTTCCTAACCAGTTTTAAAAAATATTTTTTTAGCGCACCTTTAATTTCACCGTAGTGCCAAAATCTATTTCAAATCGAAACTCGTGCTCAGGTTCGAGTTTCCATTCTTTTGAAACTTCTTTCTATCACAACACAATAGTCAGTAATTATCGGTACTTTCAAGATATTGATAATTTCAACCAGAGAATTTACTTGTTGACTAGAATTTGCTTGTCCTTTGGTTGAGGAATGCATGTTTTTTCTGTTAATTTCGGAAATATTTTGCGTTAAAACATATTCGTGTAACAATACAATTGGGCTAGTTCAAAGATATACAAGTTTTGGCTAAAAACTTATGTTTTATCAATAGAAGAATCAATTAGATTGCAGAATTAGTCTTTTATAGATAAGTATTTCATATACAAAAACTTTGATATAAATTCATTAACTAAATAGTTATAATACATTTTTTTATTAAATATAACTTCTTGATTATTATATATATAATGAGATTTGATACATTAAAAGCATTCAAGTTTGTCATTAAATTTAATCTTGTTCTAATTGCAGAATTAAAGATACCTGTAGGATTTAGAAAATTTTCTAAAATCATAAATTCCCACACTATCTTTAAATTATTGGAATTAACTTTTTAAAAATAAATTCTATATTATATAAAATTAGTTAATTTACGAATATTTCTTAATAAAATACTATTTATAATAATACAAAAAATAAATCTAAAAAAAAAGCAAAATGTCTGCATTTGCAAATATCTGAATTTGCAAGTAAAGTTGTTTGTGACAAGTGCTTTTTTTTTCTGTACAATAAGCATCAACTGTTAATTTAAGCTTCCATTCTACAAAAAGATCCATTATTAATATCAGATTTCTTTATTAAGTGTTTGCACTATTACTGTAACTGTTTTAACATGCTTTCTAGAAGACATTTTAAAAAAGTAAAAATTTATAATCCTCAAATAAAATTTTGATTTAGTAGTAATACACATTTATTACCATGACGTTCATAGAATAATTTTTGTGTAATTTTGCAATGATTGGGTAAGTCATGTTTGACGTAACGCGGTTTTTTCCAATCGATATATTTTGTATTTTTTTTTTTTCATACTTTCGTTTCCAACACCATTTAATAAATAATATGGAGAAAAAAATAATTGAATATATTGCTACAAAAGAAGTAAAAGAGATTGGACTATTTCTTGATACTGTTGACTTAAAAGAAGTACGCGTAATATTCTAAAACTTATCATTTTTTTTTTATTAATTAGTTTTAAAAGTAACGATAATAAAAATGTTTTCAGATAAAAAATTTGATTATCAATCTATTGAAAGATGATTCAAAAATTTATAATGAGAATAGTACTGGATGTTTTGCAATAATTTGTACACTTTTTAGAGGTAAAGTAAAAAGATACTTTCATATCTTGATAGTTGAGCACTACTTATATTAATAAAAACATATTAATAAAAACAATTAAACGGTATTATTAGCCTCAGTAACTGATGATTTAAATGGCGAGAAAAAAACTCTTGAGGATAGAGAATTGAGAAACGGAAGACGTTGCACAATTATACAAGAAATTATTAGATGGTATGCAAAAGCGATATATAAAATTTCCGATCCTTAATATAATGATAACAAAGCTTTCTATTAAAGGTTGTGCGAAAAAGGAAATGATACTTCCTCACATTTTGATAAATTAGTTTCAGATTTAGTGGGGATATGTATTAACGAGGTAAACCTTGAAGAAATCGATTATTTTTTGCAATTAAACTTTATTAATATATTTGCCGTTATAATTGAATAATATTGAAAGATCGCTATTGGTACTACTGATTCTCCTGTAATGATTGAGATGTTTGTAGATATCTCTACATGTATTATACAGGCTATCCAACGTGGAATTCCCTTGCATGGAAAATTATTTTCATTCTTACCGACATTATTATCTGCTTTTGATTCCTGCAATGAAGTAGTATCATTTCCTTCTGATAAAAATTCAACTGGCCACTCTATGACAGGTCAAGATTATAAAGATGAAATTTTAAATAAATTATGCAACTATAAATGGCATACAAGTAATGTGTTAAGTTTAGCTGGAGAATTTCGTGATATTCCAATGTCTAATGAACAGGTATTGAATTTGATGCATATTGGGATCTATTTTATTCGGTTTAAAGAAATGAATCACGCTTATAGATTATTTTTTTCTGATATTAGTTGCGTTCTGTCGCAGAAAAAATTATGAGGTGAAAATTTAAAATATACATAAAATTTCATTCATTACTTTTTTTTTATGTTTATGTAATGTAATGAATTGACATCTTTATTTGATATAGTCATTTTGATGTAATTGATATTAACGAGACCCCCCCACTCGTTTATCAGATCCTCTTGCTCTCTAGAAAGGTTAGTGTATTTTTGATCATATTTTAAACAAAAAGTAATTATTTCATTTGACTGATAGAAATTAACCTTTAGGGCCATAAACGTTTAATCTTGCAAGGAATTACAGAGTTTTTTAATAAATTGGATGATGAAATGCATGAAGATAATAGGTTAGTAAAGCTAATTTCACAATAATTAAAATTCTTTTTAAAATTTAACAAATTTCTAGAGAAAACGACTCCGTCGTCTCGTTATCGTTTTCGCAATTGAGTCATATGGAAGGCACAGCAATTATTCATATATGTTTCGCAATTACCCAAGATCAGGTCTTATAATCTATTTATTGTTCGATATTTTTTTTTTTCTATTATTAATCATGTTAACTTTATATTCAAATAGGAATTAGGAAGTGAATTTATCAAATATATAAAATCAGATAAGACTTCATTTTTGAAACCGTTTAGCATCGCTTGTTTATTGTCAATTGCAAGGATACATCGATTCGAAGATCAGGTATGATCATCTATTTATAATGTTATTTTAATTATTAAATTTTATTTAACATTTTATTAAATTTTTTACAAAGGCTCTCGATTTTCTCAAGACATCAATATTGGGTACTTTTAAGGATAAAGAAAAGCTGGGAAAAGCAAAATGGATATCTAGTATGCATGATGTTATAATTAATTCCTTCATTAATAAACTTGTTTGGTACCCTTTAACATAACTTTCAATATTACCAGATGTCAATTTTTCAAAAATAAATTCTTCGGTATCATTATTTGAGCTTTTCCAAAATATAATGCAAAAGACTTCCTTTGGATGGGATCAAGTCACTCAAAGTTTAGTACAATTAGGAATAATTTTGATTGATTTAGCCGTTCCCTCTGCACAATGTGGAAAGGTTTCTGGTGAGGATACAAGTATATGATGAATTTGATTTATGAAAATTGTATATCATAATGATTAAATTGTTTTCAAAAGATACAAATAGGGCCAAAAAAGGACCTATCGCACCTAATGAAATGACTAAGGATCTAGGAACAAAAATATTATTAGAAATGTTCAAGGTAATTACAAAATTAGGTACATTATTTTAATATAGAAAAAAATTTAATGTACACCAGGGGAAATCAATATCCTACGTATGTCACATTAATAAGAAGGGAGATCCTAGTATCCCTTGGTATTAATTAAAAATCTCTGATTAGATTTCTGAATACAATTCAAACGATTTATTTAGATTCATGATATGGTCCGCGCAGAAATATTAGATCAGCTTCAGTCTCGAGTTATTTCAAAATCATCAAGTGTTGAATACTTCCTGGATCTATTGGAATTAATCGTAAAAGAGAATTCCCATTCTCTCTATAATTATATATCCAGAGTATGTATGTAATGATTTGCTTTTCGAAATATTTTAAAAAAGTTAACTCTGGTAATTTATAGTTGAAAGGGACACTCGATTATTTATCATTTTTATCTATTACAACGGCTGATAGTCTATTGAAGGCATTACAACCATTATTTTATGAGAATCAATCTCTACGTGATGGACTAATGGTGATCCTACGAAAGGGTTTATTCACAAAGTACGAATTTTTTATCATTCAATATTGCCTTCTATAAATCTCATGGTTTTCTTGATTTAATATGAAAGGGAATTGGAAGGGCGCCAGATCGCATTGTCCGGATATTTGAGACTGTTAAAAATGCCATCGGCAAAAAATCGAAGAATATGTTCTAATGATTTACTTGACAATCAAAATTCTCTCTCATTTGAAATTTTAGGTAAGAATATAAGATATAAATCATGTAATTGCTTAGATAATATGATAAATATTATTATTATTTTAGGTAATTTACGCAAGTGTTTCAGCCAACAACCACAACTCAGACTATCTTTATATGAAGGTTTGCTAGAAATGATGGATGTTCATCAACATCTCAACCCAATAATCTTTGACATTCTCTATCCACATGTACGAGGATTTGTTATAAAATTTTTTTGGAATTATTATGAAATAGTTTAACTTTATTTCTATTTTTAGTTCCAACAATTTTTTGAACAGGGATCATCTCTGTATGCGACAGTTCACATTGAAAGTTGTATAGAAACTTTAAATGGGGAACCACATATTGTTGAACCTTTACCTTATTTATTGATTTGCTTAAGCAAATCAATTACCACTTTTAAGATGATTAATGATGGTAATGAAGGTTAGCATTTACTGTAAGTTACATAACTACTCAAATTCTATATAAACTCAATTTAAAATACACGTTTAATCAATTTAGGAAGTTATCAATTCAATAAAATTAAGCTTGAAGAATGCAAAACGAAATTTCAAACTTTGATTGACCAGCTAATACATTCAGACATGTCTGAATTCATGATTCACCCAAGCGCCGATTTCAAAATGAATTCTAATGAGGGTTGTCGTAATAATATGTGCGCTTCTATTCTACTTGGAATGTATGAGGTAATGTGATTAATTGACTGTTATAATGTATATGTTATGATAAATATTATATTGGATTAATAACATTAATTATAAATAAAAGGCAGCAATCGAACACTCTTTCTTTGCTTCTGAACCCACTTTAGAATTATCAGAGATTATTTTAAGGTTATTTAAAAGATATACGGCACTCTTTGAAGTTCTAAAAGAAAAGTCTGTTAATGCTCGAGGTTAGATTACGATATTTTTATTGTCAGATTATGCTTGCTTTTTAGATCTATATCTTCTATTATGTGCATATTTATTTTATTGTTTACATTGATATTTTTCAGGTCGTAAGACAGTAACATCCATTACAGAAAATTCGATTTTAAGCTTTAAGTGCATTTCTGAACTTTGTAAGTTCACTTTCCAAGATATTGTTGGTACAGAACTTAATGCCATAAATTATGCTCTGAGAGCCGATGCAGCATTCGTAAAATATATCACTGCAGTAGCATATAATAAAATATCACAGGTAAAATTGAAATGTATACTTAAGAAATGTATAATTCTGGGTTTATTTATATATATTTTTTCTTTATTTAAGATTACATCGAATTTTAATCCCGAAGATGATGAAACATTTGGCTATTGTACGTCTTTAATTCAAGTGTTTATGAAAGAATTTATTACAAATAATAAAGCAGGTATCGCTACACGTCAAGAAGATGGTAATAAGAAGGACAAGGTAATAAATAAGTTTATTATTAAGCTATACTTGAGTATAATAATGATGTCTAATATATAAATTTTCATAGGGAAAGTCCATTTTTGAAATTGCAATTGAAAGCTTTGCGCTTTTGGTTCAAGCAGTTCCGTCTTGTTGGCCAGACAAGTTAATTGATTTCTTAGAGCTTTCTTACCCATCTGAATTGACAGATGGATTAATCCCTAATGATTTAAATGGATGGTTAGACTTATACATTCGAGAATTTGAGGTACACTTATTTTGTATATACCAAAATGTTTGATTATTATTTGTAAAGAGTAGCGGTGCTTTAGTTCACACCTCCTTTATATTTTACTATCTAAAATTAATCTAATACTTATTTATATTTTATAGCACCTAATCATCGCTTCACTTAATGAAAGAATTCCTCATATAAAGGAAGCATTAGTATTATTTCAAACAATAAGTTTATTAGCATCTCATTTCACTCACCCAATCGATAATTCTAATCCACATGGATATTCAGAACAATTGGTCACTTGGCTTAAATCATTGTGTAAAGAACGTGTCATTGAAGATACTATTCTCGCCAAAAATATAATAAGTCTTTTAATAAAATTGGAGAAAGATACTTCGGATTTTGGAACAATCGCAGAAATTGCTCATGATATATTGGTTGTATTAGGTAATATCAATGGCGCTACAAACGAACTTGAGATGAGTCCTAAGTTCGTTATCGTCAATCCGAGAACGAGTGGTATAATATGCAGCGTATTGATCGGATTTATAGAAAGTATGTACGAAGAAATAGAATGGTTTTTGAATAGGATGAAGTTAATGTGCAATACAAAAGGTAAATTTTATTTATTCTATTTTATATTTTTTTATTTTTATTTTTTTTGTATTCATCATTTATTACCGAATTTGCAGACACGGATCTTAATAATGAAACGATTGATATTGAACAATCGATATGCGTAAGATTAATGACATTAATAAATGCCACAATATATTTGGAACAAACATCACTTCAAGATTCTTCTTCTGAACAATTGATTAAATGTCTTCAAAAGACTTATAAAGTTATGATATCATTAATTAAATACGTAGGTATTTAATAGTTATCCAACACAATTCTTTTACGTATTTATAACTATATTTGTTTCACTCTTAGAAAATTGCTGAGGGAGGCGAGATTCTTAAGCATTTCATAGATGTAATAGAATTAACCGGTTTACAGTTGACGGAAAATTTGTATAATTTGTTATTAGCATTTGGTTCAAAACCAGAAACCAATAGGATACAGATACCTGTTGGTAAAAAGCGTAAGCTTAAAAGCAATCCTACGATGCAAAAGGTAAGATTAGAGATCATATGAAGGAAAAAGTATTCATATTTAATCACTAATCAAATGGATTTATAGGCGCGAATTGCCAGAGAATCCAAGATAATACCTCATTTGATTTTTCTATTAGAGCAATATGAACGTTATCTAATTCAGCTAACAAAAAAATCTAAGGTAGAATTTTGTCATTTTTAAAGTTAATTATGTAAGAAAACTAATATGATTTCTATGAACGTTTCTGTAGATCAATCTGACACAATTTATAAAAAGGGCTACTAATCGAGATTTTAAGATAAAAACGGATTTAATGGACGAATTAGATGTTGAAAATGATAAAAATTCAAAACCGAATAAGGTATTTTAAATTTGAAGTTTTGTATTTGACCAATGATCAATTTAATCAATCCGTAATTTGTTTGATATAGCCTACAAGAAGTGAAGTAGAAGAGGGTGAAGATGAAGAAGTAAGTGACAAAATAATAAAAAAAAAATAATAATAAAATTATTATTAAATCAAATAAATGTTTATCTGTATAGGATAACGACAATGCTTTGGAAAGTCATCAAACTAAACGTCATCGATCTTAAAATCATGTTAAATCTGTTATTAAAAGAAATTAATTGGATATTGAATCACATGCATTTTCTTTAAGTTTCGAAACTTTTATTACAAATTTATAATAAAAGAAATTTATCACATTAAGGTTTGATTCAATTGATGATTACAACATAAAAATAAAAAAGCTTGATCAACCTTCATCTATTTCTAATGATTAATCATACCAAAGATATGAAAGAAATATCATTTAACCCATTTATACAAAATAAAATATAAAACGAACGGAATGTCAAACATTCTTAAAAGTTTCCCATAATTTCTACAATATATATGAAGAAGACATTGACCTTATACCATCAAACACTATTGAATTATTGATAGGAATATATTGTCTGGTGATGAGTTTGATAATTTCTTGCGATACCATACCCCCAAGTAAAGAAGCGATGTTTGCTAATTCTGAACCACCAGCTCGACAACTAACAAATACAAAGAGTAATTTTTAATTGATATTCATATGATCAGTGGAGTCATTAAAAAATAATAATTTTATATCTACTCACATTTCATGAATATGATTATCTAAATGTTCTGGATAATTCGTTATATCCCATTCACCTAATAAAAGGTTGACATAAGTTTTTAAAGTACTAAATTCAGACCTTGCCTCTTCACTTGCTTCCTCTGCATCATCTTCAAGGAAAAATGTTGCGGCGTCTAAAAAATTCATTGAATATTAATGTGATATTAATAATTACAAAGGAAAAATTTTTTAAAGTACTTTACCAGGATAACGATTATGAGACTCATAAAATCGATCCATTGCTCTGATAAGAACGTAATTAACGATGTTTTCTTGAGAATCTCGTAACCATCGACCTATTATTCATTTTTAAAGAAATTAAATATCACATCAAAAAATATAAACAAAATATATTAAATTCAATTACCGATATCAGATTTCTTTGGATCAGTTATGTATTCTTCTTGTAATGATCTATATCGAAGAACTTGAATAACGGATGCATGTTTGCAACAACTATCTATTTCGTCATCAGAAATGGAATCAACTGATCGTCCAATAGAAGTTAAGATATCATGTACATGAGCACGAACAATAGATATGTCTTCTTTAGCTTTTTGACGATAGCTAGTCAAAATATAACAAAAAAACTCAGCAATCAAATATAAGTTATTAATTGTATCACAAGAATAATAATTTCGTACATGTTTTGCATTGCAACATATCCAGAAGTGTAAGCCTTCATATCCGGTACACTTCCCGCTAATGGAAGCAAGCCTTGACCTTCATTTGCTACAAACTCACGGATAGCTCGAACTATAATCCAGAAATTTGATGACTAAATAAATAATAATTAATTTAATTATTGTATAGTAACAAAGATTATTATTTGATATATTCAATATCATACCTCGGACGTTATGTTCTCGCATGATGAATCTTTAAAGATTTCTTCGACTTGACGAGGTACCTTAGTGACAGTACAAGCCCTCCATGCACTTGACAACGCTTCGTCAAAGTTTTCTTCGTCAGCATTGCGTTTACCACTTTGGATTAGTTGCTTGAATTCGTTCCTTTCTGCAGAAGTGCTAGGTAATTTACCGTCATGCTTTTTTTTTTTCATAACAATCATTAATAAAATTCTATTATAATATACATCATTAAATAAATAACCTTTACTTCAAGAAATAAACATTTACGTCTTGTTTCCATTGTTCAAGATATTTCAAAAGGATCACTACATAAGGAATATGTCCGTGATCCATACTATCTAATGTATCGAAATTAAATGTTTTGACATATTGTTCAAGAGATAGAAAAGGAACATCTAATCGAAGATCAAGAATATTTTCCGGGTGCGTCTCCACAACTAATAAGAAATAATAATAATAATAATAAAATTAACTTTAATGAAAATAACATATATACAGATTAAATCTTACTCGTATGTTCTGGTAAAGCAATTCGAAAATATCCTATGAATCCAACGGTGCGTAAGACAACGAGAGGAATTTTTGCATTCCACAGAGTATCCGCTAACTTAAGTAAAGGTTTTTCGGGAATATTTGTAGTGATCACGATAGAAAATTGCAAGAAATACTCTGGTTGATTCTCAATAAGAGCAATCGGATTCTATCAAAGGATTAAGTATTTAAGTCACGTGATATAATAATGATTGATCCTATTTATATATATATATATTAGTACCTCAGAAAAATGAAATCCCTTAACATCTTCATTTAGTTCTTGCAAAAATTCTGTAACGGCTTGAGCTCTACTTTTACCTATACTGTCAGGAACTAAGAAAAATGTGTTCCCAACGTCAGAGCCATCAACAATTTTATCGTCGACCACTGTAAAGGACCCAATGCCTGAATTGATAATTTCGAATTATTAAACTTTTTTTTTTATTTTTTTCATATATTCATATGGAATAATCTTACCAGGTAAAACCAAGTCTTTTAGAATTTCGCAGCCTGTAGCTGTACCATTAATGAGACATACTTTAGCAGTTTCTAAAGCTGTTTGACCACTTGCATGCCATAAACTATAATAATAATGATGAATAATTGATAAATTATCCCGTTATAATAACTTTGATATCAAAATTATGTTGCAAATTAACTTACCGAAGTTGACGGTCATACTTTTGAGTTTTTTTGTCAACATGCATTTTGGTAAAATAAAAACAAGTTGTCTCTGAACAGAAGGATTTCAAAATTGTTTTTGATGTATTTTAACAGCGGAATGCAATAATAAATTTAATTCCCGGGTCTGTGATACCAAACACTGACTAAATTAAATCGACTTTTTAATTTTAACCTAGATCCGGGTTTAGGTTATTATCCTAGGACCATGTATAAATAAATATTTTAAAGTACTTATCACGTGATAAGTACAGTTGCGGAGAATATCCTGGACCCGGGGTACATTTTAAGGATGCCCTTTTAATAATTTGATTGTCGCACGTGACATGTTAATTTATTTTGTTTAAAAAATTCCCGGAACCTGATTTTCCTAGCAATCAACCCATATGATACGGAAGAACTTTTTTTTTTTCTTAGAAATCTTAGCACGGGCATAAGTTTTGTGAAAGATTTCTGTTAAGGAGTAAGGATATGATATCATTGTAGGTCTTTTCATTGGCGTTATGGCGGAATACTTTTCATTGGTACTGTGTAAATCATTATGCAAATTTAAAAGTAATTTAGTGTGGACACGAGCGGTAATGTGGCGCAGTAACCAAACACAACGCTATTTTTGTCGGATAAAAAGCCCAATTTTTTTTTGTTAACTGCCAAGCCTCAATCGTCAAACGGATTCGTTATTCCGTGACAAGCAATGTGATCTATGCAATGTGATGATCGATCGATATTTCGTAATAAATGAGCCAATAAAAAGATTTATTTTTGTATCAAAATTTTCCTTTTTAGATAAAAATCGGTTTTTAAATTCCTATTTACATTATCTTTTTTATTTGCTTATATATCTCTAAAAAAAATTTTTTTACAATTCTCATACATTCATTCATTCATTCAATATAAACCAAGTTTTCTATTTTAAAATCATGTATGATCGTATGACATCTCGTAATGACGACGATCCGGTACCTCCATATTTCACTGATAAAAATATTCTGAGATACATCAAAAATCGAACAAGGTTAGTATGATATAACAAAAAAAAAAAAATTATAAAAAGGATGAGAATTCAGCCTCAAAAAAAAAAAAAAAATAAAATAAAACTTTAATATAATTTAGATTCACAATGCACAAGATCAAAAACATTTTTTATGCAGAATCAAAAATTAAAAAGGCATCATTATACCCATGGTCATTAGAGAAACGTTACAAAATTTCAAAAAATGTTCTTGGTACAGGATCATTTGGTGTTGTTAAAGAATGCACAGATAAATGTACTGGAATTAAATATGCTTTAAAGATCATAAACAAAAAAGCCATTCAAGGTAAATTTTTTCATCAAATTTTCTTTTTTTTCTACCGAGTTTCAAAATATTTAAAAACCTTTTGATTTTTTTTTTTTTTGTTTTTCATTATCAAGGAAAAGAGCAGATGTTAAACACGGAGTTGAATGTTCTCAAAAAAGTAAATCATCCAAACATTGTGACACTTCACGATTTATTTGAAACCAAGAATGCAGTTTACATCATTACGGATTTAGCAAGTGGAGGAGAATTATTTAATCAGCTTATTCAAAAAGGTTCATACACGGAAAAAGATGCGTCCAATTTAGTAAAACAAATACTTGAAGGGGTAGCTTATCTTCATGATCATGAGATCGTTCATCGAGATTTAAAACCAGAAAATTTATTGTTTAGTGATAAATCGGATCATCCAAATTTGATGATTACGGATTTTGGACTATCAAAAATATTAAAACATCATAATGATATTTTAATGACAGCATGCGGGACTCCAGGATATGTGGCCCCTGAAGTTTTAAGACAAACTGGACATGGTAAACCAGTTGATATATGGAGTGTTGGTGTTATAATGTATACATTATTATGTGGATATACACCATTCGGGGGTGAAGATCAAGCAGCGTTATTTGATAGCATCTTATCAGGTGTTTATTATTTTGAAGAAGAATATTGGTCAGAGATTAGTGATTATGCTAAAGACTTGATTGATAAGTTGATGACATATGATGCGAATAAAAGAATAACTGTTCATGATGCGTTACGACATCCATGGTTTCATATGGCAGATAATATTGATTTGTTAAATAATGTACGAACAAATTTCTCTGCAAGGGCTACTTTAAAGAAGGCAATTAACGTAGTTCAAGGAGTTACTCGTTTAAGAAAAACTAGTATTCGACAAGTGAACAATAATAATAACGATGATGATCATAATCATAATGTTGAAATATGTGATGTCAATTATGCTGACATTTCGAACTTGGATTTACAAATAACTTCAATGTCACGCAATGATAATCTTATCGAAGCGTTAGGAACGTTTACATCCCCATTTCCCAATATTAGCGATGGTACTACTGATTCTATCGTAAATGGTGAAGAATGGTATTCGAATAAAAATGCGATATTAGTTTAATAAAATAATAATAATAATAATAAATTATTTAAAATTTTTTTATAATTAAATAGAATAAAAAAATCATTTTGAATCATTCATGATAACCTTATTCCTTTTTTTAAATGTTTATTTGAATATCGGAAATATCTAAATCATTCATTTCACCATTTTTTTCTACCAAATCCGCAGCTTTACCGGCTGCTGCTTCCGATACTTCTTCAATCTCGTTAACCGTATCTTTGGGTACTCCTGTTATTAATGCGAATTCCAGATTATCAAGTGCTGCTTGTTCTATTTCCTCTATTCAATGTTAAAATATATATATATATATATATTTTTTATATATTTACAAGAGTGGTTAAAAAATTATCATATTCAAATTTTTGTTTTTTTTTTTTAAAAAAAAATTATTGTATCGTTTCTTACCTTCGGTTAATTGTAACTCGGAGACTGTATCGGCAACAAAAACTCCATTCTCTGTAGCGGCTTTAACATCAACTAATTCTGATGCTTTTCCAATCACCAATATCACATTAACGTCTGGTGAAAGTGTATCCAACACTTCAGTATCAAATTTATCTATAATCTATAAAGGTTAAAAGTTAATAAAATAAAAATTGTTATTGCAAATTAATTTAAAATCACCTGATCAGCTCCATGGGCTAATAATATTGCAACTACGTTTTCATATTTCGTAGTCGCTTCCAACAAAAAATCATTTTTCGTAGAATTAAACTCCTAATAAATATTTTCTTTTTAGTAAAAAAAAAAAAAAAAAAAAAAGTTTTTGTAAAAATAACTCTTACCTTGAATTCATATCTCTCTTTCATTTCTTCGAAAGACCTTTTTGCATGTCGAATTTCCCCAAATACCAGTACTTCTTGTTTAATTACCATATTTAATATAAAGTAGGTTTATTTTTTTTTTTTTTTAACTTTCCTTTATGGTCTTATGGTTTCAAATAAGAAGAGAGAGTGTGTTAAACGAAAATGTTTCAATTACAACTTTACATTAGTTGATCGATAAACACATGATATTTGATGCCATTGCTGTAACACTGCATACATTTTATCATTAATCAAATTGATGAGATCATACGCGAGATTTGATTTTATTTATTTTAAAATAATAATAAATATAAATGAAAACGAACATACACATATATATATTTTTTACATATAAAATAATTAAACTATCATTTAGGCATAACACCATGAACTTGAAGCCGATACAAACAAGTAAATTGAGAATTTTCGTGATTACTTAGAATTTTCATAACAACAGAATCCACTCTCTTATTATTATTTTTCGCAATCTCATCAGGTACATTGAATGCTTGTGTGGGACGACCATCTAAATCATATTGATACTTGCCCAAAAACACCTTAAAATCTCTTTTGTTCTCACTTAAACCCCACAACTCAAATTCATAAGGAGCTGATGAAATAGGGTCAATTGATACTTCTTTTCCAATATGACTATAAGTAAGATGTGTCACCACAATACTTCTTGACAATTTTATACCAATTTGTCCGTTTGTACCATTAAAACACCAACATTCTCCAACGTTCACATTGGGTGATAATACGATTTCTGGTTTTTTGCTGGTAATAACGTTCCGATGTGTTAATCTACCCCAAACGCGTTGATAAGGTTTACTTGGCCATATCTCATAAGTTCGTGATGTTAATTGAGGTAAAATTCTTGCTCCACCTGTATACAAAGCATAATCCGCGCTTGTACCTTCCATCATTTTCTCTAATTGTTCTTGGAGGACTTCATGTAATTGCGTTCTAACATATCCAAGTAGTCCTACATCATTCTCTTTCTCTACATGCTCATCATTACTTAATCCTTTTCGAACTTTAGCTGGTGATGTTGAAGAAACTCTTAACATCTCTTGTTCAATGAATTCTTGCACTTGTACCCTAACCGTGCCATCTAACCTTCCTTTTATCAAAATTTTTTGTTGTTGTACTTGTAACATATACCCATATACCGAAAATGAAATTAAGACCATCAATACAAAATAAATTTTATCGTTAAACAGCCAATTGATAGAAAATTGATGACAATTAATTACATGTAAAATGTTGCTAAAAAATTGCGCACGTCCATTATGATGATGATCTAAATTAGGTGGTGCTGTATCATCAATTTCGGTATCAGTGTAGTCTCCAAGAAGTGTTTGACTGGATTCGAATTTGAACGAGTGAGAGAGAAAACTAAAATTACGTGGTGTTGGTGGTGATTGATAAAAGACGGTTGAAGATGATGCTGCTTCTTCTTCATGAAAGAAACTGTATTCCTTTTCATACCCTTCTTTTGTTGAATGTCGACCAAAATTATAAATATTCATTACTGGAAGAGTACCGCAGGAAAATAATTCCTTATGAGGAAGTACTCTCTTTTGTGGTAATTTTAATTCTACGCATTCTGAAACATCAATTCCTTTATCCATAAATTGCTTTTTATATCTCAGAAACAACCTAAATTTCATTTTATAATAAACAACTTCTTCCAATGCTTCTCTATTATTAACAAACCAATATTCTGGCGACGCGCTAGGATTATAAAAATGAACTTTGACTTCATTTTCCTCCAACCTTTTTTCTAGAATTTGCTCTGCATCTTGTTGAAGTCGAGGAAGTGCTTTACAATAAGCTAATTCAAGGTCAAGGAATGTAGGAAACTCGGAAAAGAGAAACCGAACTGGACTTGTCTTGCTACGTGTTATTGGTGACATTTTGTGTTAACAGAGTATTTGGGGAAAAAAAAAAAAAAAATTTTTTATTTCTTGAATTATCGGGGGATCAAAAGGGAATTTGAAAATTTTTGGGGGAATTCGAAAAATGGCGAGACATGGAAAAGGAATACAAAATGAAATATGATTGGATCATCCTTAAATGTTTATTTAGAAGTTGATAGACTTTCTAAAAAAACCAGTTTTTTTTTTTCATTATGCACTCCTGAAACAGTCTTGATTATAACAAGTAATTTTATACTGTGTAAAAAAACTAGTTTGAAACTTGAACCTATTTAAAATATTCATTTTCCACGCGATATTTATACATTTGCGGGCCGCCGCATTCAAACCGGATATTTGACCGGATAGAAATTATTTGATTCGTGTTTGCGTTTTTATTCCCTTTTTTTAATTAAATTTATTAAATTTATCATTATTAATTTTGGAAATTTCTATTAATGATATAGAAGTGGAAAATGAATATGATGTAATTTTTTAAAGGCTGGTAAAGGTATGGGTACATAAAAAAAATATATATATTTCAACGGAGGAAATTAACACATAATACAATATCACGTGAGATTTACCAATAATGACGATCAACGTTTCGTCTGTTTATTTTGTAAATCCTGTTTCTTTTGCTGGTCTAAATTTCTCTAGTCTATTTAATTCTTTTAAATTTATCTTATTATTATTTTTATACTTTTATCTTTATTAGTCCGGTAGGACTGTTACTTCTTGGTCTGTGATATAGCAATTATTTATAATTTTTTTTAAAAAATTAATGAATTTTTATGTAATGTATGATCAATCATTACAAATCACGGATATTAATCGTTAAATAAAGTCAATTGTAAAATCAAACATATGTTAATGTAATAACAAATAAAATACATGAAATAAAATATAATTTTTGATTAGCAAAAAGAAAATTTTTTTTAATGGATCAGTTTTTAATTTTTGTATTATAGTTAAATAAAGGTAGATACTGTATTTTAAGTATTGTATTACAGTAAAACAAATAATCTTAACGCTTTGGATGCTTCAACAGTTCCCATTGCCTAGTTAAATATATTTTCTAGTTTTATAGAGCAGTAAATAGTTAACTATAGCCAGTCTAAAATTGACTGCGGAACGCATATGATTTTTTTTCTGCTAGTAAATTAAATATGTACATGCGGATTCTGCAAAGTTAGATTATCAAATATACATGCGGATTTATCTGTATATTTATTTAGTTTTTATCATGATTTATTATTAATTTTTTTTTCTTTGTTAATTTTCTTTCTTTGTTTTAGCTCTTAATTGACAAATATCTAACTTCTGCAAGCAATTCATCTTCAGTACCACCTTTTACACAGAAGCAGAAAGAAAGCCTACAAAATAAGAATAGTTCTGTTAAAAAAGATGTAAAGGAAAAACAGTTGAATAAAACAAACAATATACATGACTAGACTGGAATCCAAAGTGGTCACAGGTATCCACAAGTTGCTCAACGTATTGATTTTAATAATAAGCCAGAAATAGTGAACAGATTATAGTAAATATGTGGTAAAAAATGTTCCTATGGCATTATTTAAGACTAATTGAGTTAGTTAAAATAAATTCTAATTCCATTATAAAAATTTGAAAAAATTTTTTTTGTTATAAAAATGCTAAATAGCAATAATTTAATGCATTTTGGCAGTGATGAAGCCGGTGTAATATTAGGTATATAATAATATATTTACAATTTCAATTATTAATATAACTAATACTAATTTATTTTTATGTAAAACTTAAACAAAAAAACAAGTTAAATTTAGTTGAAAAAGATTCAGCTAAAGATATTTCATATTTTAAAGATTTTAAAAGAAATATATGCTTATTTTGACTTATTACATTAACAGTGATAACATTTTAAATTTTAGACGATGATTCAACATTATCAGTTTTATGTGTAATTAATACCTGATAGCTTTCACTTATTAATGTTATTTCAAATTTACACTAAATTATCTTTTAAGTTGAAATTTATATTAGCAACAAAATTTTTAAAAGATATCATCTTAATTTCAGATTATCAAAAATTTCAGTCAAATTTTAGTTCTTGAAAGCTGAAATGTTTTGACCTTAAGATTTTAGTTTCACCTACAATTTTAAAGTGTATAAAAATTCAGTATAAAAAATTTTGTTAACAAAAGCTTTATTTTATTATATGTGTACAGAATCTTTCACTTCATTATACATAATACAGTCAGGGATATTTCCAAATTTGGAATCGATTCCAGAATATTCTGCTGATCATGCCGATCATTTTAAATAGGAAATTCGTAAAACT